TGTGTGTGTGTGTGTGTGTCTCCCAGCAATCCTATGACATCCTGCTGTTGATTCTGATGGTGCTGCTGCTGGTGCAGGCAGTACTTACTTCAGCCACTGTGGTGCACTGTGCAACATACAAGAGTCGACTCCGCTTGGGGGCTCCAGAGTGTGAGGACAGCTTACAGACTGCGACTCATTACCATGAGGTATGAGAGGCTGTGGACACAAAAGGCCAAAGGTCACATCCAGTTTTATTTCTGTTTCTTTTTAACAGCTGTACATTTTCCTCCTGACAGTTAACTGACAATCTACATGAAGTCAACGTGATTAATGAAGAGTTTTTCATTTCATTCTTTTAACCTCTGTGCTTCTCCTTTGTGTTTTGATGCATCAGCAGCAAACACCCAATGGGACGCTGCAGGACTACGACAAAGACAGAGCCTGGAAGGCGGTTTTGGTCCAAATGGCCCAGTGAGAAATCTCGTCTTGTCTACAGAGGTTTGCCTTGCAGAAGGAAAAATCAGAGAAGGTAACAATGAAGAAATCCCCATAAGAATGAGAAAAACAAAAGAAATGAACCAGAAAAGCGGAGCTGAAAATAAAGAATGAAAGACTAATAAGAAAGTCTTTAAAAGCTTTGTTGTTCTTCTTTTTCATTTGCATAAAGATGTTGTGGGCATTCGTCTTTTCGGTTTAGGGATTTTTTTCTGTACCATTAATTAATTGTAACTATTTCTAGAAAGTATTTTATCACAAAACATCATTTTAAAAAACGTTATTGTTAAGAATGTATAACAGTCAACCGAGGCAGTAATCAGCAAATGGTTCTGTGGCTTGAGTCCACAAATAACTCATCATTAGACGTTTGAAGTTACACTTTGATGCATACAATAACTTTTTTTTTCCTCAGTTGAAAGAATGATTTCAAAAGTTGTTCTCTAATGTGATGCATATATTTATAAAGATGTTTACTGATTTCCTTATTTAGAATAATGACTCATAATATATCCTAGCAGATTTTGTTCTTCTTTGTCCTTGTGGTTTGAGATGTTGCAACTTTTTTATTACAAAGTAGCTGATGTGTTATTGCGGGCACAACGATGTGATGCACAGAGAAAGGGCTGAGATGATTTTTTCAAATAAAACTTGTTTGGAAATTATTGAGGTAATTTGGTGCCAGTTTAATCATTCTGTTATGACTAAATGTCTGCGCATGCCCTCAATGCCCACATTACACACACTTGAGATTAATGTGCCTTTAGACCATTTAGGGAAGCTCAGATGATGACATCATGTATTTCTAAGCATCTAATTAAGCTGCACAGAAACACACACCTGTGGATGTATTTTAATGTAACACTTCAAACACACTGCTACCCTGAGTGACATCATGGAAAAAATCTAAAGAGATCAGCTAAGATGTGAGGAAGAGAGTTATCGAGAAACAATTGCTAGTGAACTTCCTCCTCTGTAATTGCTAAAACTACAGGTGGACTACAATTCCGAAACAACAGCATAGAAAAGCTGCATTTTTGTTCACAACTTCTCCTTTTGTACACTGATTGGCCCAGTAGAAATTCTACCAGAGGAATCCAAGGGGATGGGAGAAAGCCTGGAATGAATCGAGCAGAATTGAGCAGGAAGGCAATGGCCAGTCTAGAACTGCACCAACGCGAGCTGAAAGTCTGCTAGGTAAGGCAGAATCCATTCTTATGAACATAAACTGTCAGTTTGAAGTTTATTGCAGTTTAACATTAAGGCCTCTTTGGAGACATTTCCTGTGGACTGATGAAACTACAGGAAAGTGTTTGGCTATAATGATCATTTTTACATTTTTGGAAAAAAAAAAGGGTAAAACTAGCAAAACCTGAGAGCACCATTTCATCTGTGAAGTGTGGCGGTGGCTGCATCATGTCGTGTTGTGTGAGTGTTCTGCTGCAGGAAGGACTGGTGCGCTTGTCAAAACAGATGACATCATAAGGAAGCAAAGGGTGGAGTAATACTGAAGCAACATTTCAAGGCGTAGGCCATTGTTTGTCAAGACATTGTTCTGCTCACAGAGCTAACTCTGATCGAAAAAGCATTTGAGCTAGCTTTTACAGATTTCTTCTGGGCTTTTTGTTGTTGTTGTTGTTCTTTTTGGGTTAAACATAAAAATTTCAAATCGTCAAAGAAATTATTTTGGTTAAAAAAAACTTGCGTAAATACAAAGAGCATTTGAGGACGAGGACTTCTTCCAGTCAGCCTCCTCTTTTCACAGTGAGAGTTTGTTGTTGTTGTTGTTGTTATTGCGATTTATTTTGTGTGGTTTTGAAAGCCAAGCTCGACTTCCACCATTACGGGTAACCTCAGTTTCTTAATCACATTACAGTCTGCCTGAAAAACCTTTACTATCCTCTTACAGTCTTTCCGGCCTTGATAATGGACATCAAGTTGCTTTTACTTGCAGAGCTCTAGGAGGAGGCTTGGAGGCGTCTGTGACTGCTGTTTGTCAGGATAAGGTTTGAAGAGCGACATTTGCATCTTCTGCCCTTTCCAGTGACAAGCTCAATAAGCTTTAACACTTCAAAAATACTGTTCTATTTTTCCTTTTCATGGCTTTAATATACAAATATAAATATGTACATATGACACAAAACAACTATATCTTACTGAAATGGTATATATGAGGGGGAAAAAAATAGAAATCAGCTTATTTCTCATTTCAAGACCTAAATCATGAGGAGGCCCAAATATTTACACTACAAACTGAAATAGATTTTTTTTTTAGGTTGTGAAATTTTGCTAGAAAGCATTGTGTTTGATTTTATATATTTGTGTTTCTTGCTGATGGGGAACTACATCTTGCAGCTTGCTTGTTGTAGGCAACATAAGTATGAGGAAGGAGGAGGGATGAGACAGAGGGAAGGAGTCTATATTTGGAAGCAATGCGTGGTAAGGAGCGGGTTCCCTTGCCGGCAGAAACTGGCTTGGAGGGGCTGGCACATTCAGTCTGATGGGTGTGCCCCACTTTGACACGCAGAGACAGCGAGACAGGGGCAAAATGATCCCAGCGGCGAGCCAAAAATCTTTCTGAGGCGGAAAAACAACAACAAAAAAAGCAAGAAAGCACCATTAAACATATCCACTGCCCATGTGTCCAGTGCAATATTTGATTTGATTTATGAGTGAGACCTATAAGTGTTGATGAGAATTAATTAGAGCATGTATTTACTATTTCATGACGTCTCCATGCACCACCACTGACATTTCAACACATTGTGGGGCGACGGTGCGTTGCCAGTTCAAACCCTCGCTTTGTTCGTATCAGTCATCGAGTCCCTGGGCAAGACACTTCACCTCCTCGCCTGCTGCTGCTGCTCACAGGGCCCAGTGACGCCAGCTGAGTGGCAGCCTTCCTTCTGTCACACTGCCTGTGGGCACTTGTAGCTGCTATGTAGCTACAAGTGCCCACTTGTAGCTACTTGTGTGAGTTCTTGAATGACTGAATATAGTGCAAAGTGCTTTGAAGTCCTCTGAACTGGATAAAGTGTTGTACAAGTACAGGTCATTTCCCATTTTACTATGAACTATCCTGAAAGTTGCAGAGAAACTTCTTAGTTTTAGTTTGAAGCCATCAAGAAGCTTGCGATACGATTCCATCTGGCATATCTACGCACTTTTTATTCCTTTATTGTGAATTGCAAGAGCTCAGTAAAAAAGTCTGGCTTCATGTATTTGAAATCAGATTAAAATCAAGTGGGTTCCAAAAACTTAATGTTATTCTGCTTTATCATTCCAACTAGTTTTAAAGTGTGCTTGGATCGTCATCCTGCTGGAACACCAAGATGTTCAAGTTTTTAATCAGCAGACCCATCCTGTCGGCCTCAAATGAAGGACAATCAGTGAGTGTGTTCACGGACTCACAAGAAACCACCCAAATCTGAACTTTATGTGAATCAACACATGCTGAACGTCAGCATCTCCATCCACACTGAGAGGAGTCTGTCATCATTACACAGAAAGGATACCAACCTAGAAAAAAATCCTGTGCTCGCTTAAAATTTACAACAGGCAAAACATCTTCTATGTTCTGGTGTCAAATTTTAGACTCATCCATAAAAAGAACATTACTCTACAATCAGTCTTTGTCTGGAAAACTTTAGTTTGCTCTCTGTGTTTTTTCAAGAGAGCAAATCTTTTCTTCACCTGCCACAGAATTATTTTTTCTAACAGTGCAGTGAGTGTACTTTCATATTGACTGCGGCAAAAACCTGCTGTCGATCCTGTGATGAGATTTTAGGGTTTTCAGCGATTTCATTTACCATTTGTTGACTGCTCAGATGGAACCTGCTTAGAAAGCCAGACTGGGGCCCAGTGGCATTGAATATTAGTCACTTGTTCTGGACAGGAATGGCTGATTTCAAACTCTTATAAGACGTCTTTAAATCTCTTAGCAAAGACATAAGCTAGATCTTCTTTCTGAAGGATCCCGACAGCTGTTTCAAAGTACCATTGTGTTCACTCTCTCTTCAACACACCCTAAACATCTACATGTGAAGCTCCTTCAAAAAGCAGCATAATGACTTTCTCAACTGATATGCTCTGTAGGAGAAATACTGATGTTTGATTTTTAGCTATTTTAATTCGGAATGAATGTGGAGATGTCCCAACGCACTTCTCCATAAACTGCACATTGTAAATTATTTTAAAAGTACTCAAAATGCTCGGGATTGTACGTCCACAGATGTTAGAAAACCACACAGGATGACTAGTGAATATCTACAGTAAAATCCTACTCGTTAGGATAACTTTAAACTTAGTTATGACAGTTTTAGAAATCCTTGAACTTCTTGTACCATCAGGAAAAGCACAGGTTAAAACCCCTCCTCACATATTAAAACTTTTAATTATTATCACTGTCGTGATGAAATCTTCTTGCCAGAACTCCAACCCTCACCACTCCTCTTGTGTAATTTCAAAGCGCTTCTTCTAAACAGGAAACTTGAACCACCTGTTAATGACTCATCTACAAACAGAAGATGGGTGAAGATGCTCGCCACACCCATAAGATTTGAATGACACGCGTCTTTGCCAGTCCTTGTTTGCATGTGTCCACGGTCAGTCCCACATTCTGAGGTGACAGGCAGGCTGGATAAACCTATGAGGAAGGCAAGAAGACACTGCCGTGCGGTTTGGACCGAATAAACAGGAGTTGAACCGCACAGCTTGTACTTAGAGAGTCCATAATGATCCAAGTGGAGCGCTAAATGCTTGTGTTGTACAGAATACAGCCCTAAAACGTGATTCATTTGCAACGCATTAGCAAATCTCTAATATTTACAGCAATGTTTTTTTTTTATTTTTATTTTTTTAATAATATCGATTTGCAGAGGATGAAGTGTGGACGATTTTGCTGCAAGCCTGTCAACAAACCACAGGGCGCTCGTAATTCCGCCTCAAACACTCACAGAGCTGATACGAAGAGCCGCAGAATCTTTAATTTGTTATCTCTTCCCTTGTTTCCGAGGAAGAGGCGGGGAGGGGAGATGAAGAGAAGAGGGCTGGAGTCACCAGAGGGAGAGGGGAAGGGTGGGGGGAGAAAAGGCGGAACAAACCGGTGAGCTCGGATACAAGCTGTAGCTTCTCGCCCGCACTGCAGATTAACTCTTACCGCGCCGGGAAGACGCAGCTGGACTCGGTGAGTTGTTGTTATTATTATTATTATTATTATTTTTAATTATTATTTCTCTCGTCCTCGCTGCCCCGCAAATTTTAGCAGTTCGCTCCACAGCAGCAAAATGCGGCGGTTTGGTCCGGTCTAAGTGCGGACAGGTAGAGACGGATTCAGGTGCAGAGCATCACAGAGAGTCTCCTCTCGTCTCGTGCACACTCCGAGCTTCACACACAAGATGCACTTTCGCTTCCTGGCGTGCTCGTCGAATCGATGTGTGCTTGATGTTGAGCAGCTTGTCTCCGGTTTTCCGGGAGCTGTCCGCCGCTCAGGTGCTGAAGCGGCTCGTCATCCACAGGCGGCTGTAATTAACTGCAATGCAATGTCTCAGCAGAGGTGAAGACCGATGGACCCCTCTCGGAGACAGCAGTTCGGATCCCAGCCTGCTGCGCTGAGTAAGACACGGTGATCTTTTCGTGATTTTTTTTTTTTTTTTGGTGCACTTTTATGCTAACACGTAAAAGTGTGGAAACTGTTACGGCGCTGATTTAGTGGTCTTGAGCTGGTCATTAAGCAGCCCAATCAGAAGCGTTCCTTTAATGTCAGAGAATATTCCGCCCTGGAAGTTCTTCCATGTCCCTTCGTCATCCAATTAATAATGAATGAAGGAATGGGTGGATAAGAGCAGCTCCACTCCCTGAGCTGTTGTCCTGAAGTCTAACTCTGCCTCTTTTCGCAGACAGCTGCACTGGTCCGAGCCAAGCGGGATGTTGTAGTAGTCAAAGATGTGGGATTCCCTGTGTAAACACACCGGTAGCATGGCCCAACTGAGGGGCAAAAATCTGTCAGGCTGGAGCAGCGCCAGTGGCAGACAGACAGCTTCTAAAATGTGACCCTGCTCCTTTAAATCTAAATTATGTAAACTTTGCCTCTCTTCTGATCATCCTTTAAAGTTGTCATATGGGAGGGTGAAATTGGAAGGTTGCTATCCCAAAAGGGACATCTTGTTCTCTACTTGAGAATCAGTAATTACCCCATGTCGGCATGAACACTGAATAGCGGTCCTTCATAATGCTTCTAAGGATTCTTTTGCTCATGATCCCACTAGTCATGTTCACTTTTTAAGCTGGCTGGAGCACACTAATTGCTCTTTGGACTACTGAAGCCGCAACTCAAGATTTCTCTTTGTAAGATGTTAAGTACTACGTTCTCGTGTTGATATACAAGGGATAGGCTTTCAAAGGATTTAATAGGATTTGACAAGAGTGAGAGGAGAAGAGATGGAAATATGTTTTCTTTTTTTTAGCAAAAGAAGAAGAGATGGCATGAGAGGATAAGATTAGTTGATGGTAAATGGATGATGCATTCACACTCCCCACCGAGGACCTTCCTATAACCTTCATGTTCAAGAAGCCCGCTGCAGGCGGTGATGCCTCTGCAAAATTGTGGTGCTGGATAAGCATAAATTCAAACTTTTATGAATGCACATGAAAGCTAGAGAACATTGGATAGCACTAGGAGTCTGGGATCACTTAAAGTTTTCTGTCCGTCCCACAGGGATCTATTCTGTGCTCCTCATGTAGGGTTATAAAAAATTTTGACATCATATTTAAGAAAAATAAATAAATAACATATTTTTGTGAGTCAGTTTAAAGTTTCTTGAAACTGGTTCTTTGTACATCGTTGCTAAAATAGGACAACAATATACAATAACAGTGCCTTGAAAAAGTGCTTTTTTTCCCACATTTTGAGATTGTATTATTCCAAAAGGCAACAAAGGAGGTTGTAACTCTGAAGGGAAGCTGAAGAGACGCACAGCTCAGGTGGGAGAATCTGTCAGCAGGACAAACATTAGTTATGACTCTTTAAATGTGCTCTCTTTGAAAAGTAGCAAAATGAAATTCATCGTAAGTCCTCTTTGCAGATTGCGCTGGTCAGATTAGACTGAAAGTTAACTTTTTAAAAATGGATGTCATTTTTTAAAATGGGAAACTCACTATATGTCATCCTAATTCATGCCATCACCATTATGAGACACATGGTGGTGGCAGCATTAAACAGTGGGGATGCTTTTCTTCAGTACAGACAGGAAAGCTGCAAGCTCAAAGTAGATGTGAAAATTGATGCAGATAAATGCAGGTCAGTCCTTGAAGAGAACCTGCTAGACTGCAAAAAAAACTGAGGCACGGCTCACCTTCTAGCAGGGCAATGGCCTTTAACACAAATCCAAAGCAAACATATAGAAGTTTAGCATAAAACATATTATTGTGTGTGACCAAAACCAATAAACAAACCTAAATTGAAATGAGGAACTTAAAAATTGATGTTCTCAGAAACCCTCAATCCAATTTTAGTAGGGCAACAAAACAAACACTGAACTTATAGACTTTTAAATAAAACATTGCTAAATATTGTGTTTTTCCGCATTACATTATGCCCTTTTTGTGTTCATAAAATCCCAGTGAAATAATATTTTAGACATTTGTGGCTAAATATCTGCGACAGACTGGCGACCTGTCCAGGGTGAACCCCGCCTCTCGCCCGGAACGTTAGCTGGAGATGGGCAGCAGCAGCCCTCCCGACCCCACTGAGGGACAAGGGTGTAAAGAAAATGGATGGATGGCTAAATATAAGACCTTTCAAGGAGCAGACATACTTTTACAAGGTGCCGTTTATGGAAACTAAATTGAAGTTTCCTGTCTTCAGCCACACGTCTGCATCAGAATACGAAAGATAACATTCTCCCACAAGACTAGCCACAAATGAAAGAGAAACATTAAAGATGCACAGTTACTGTATATGTTGTCTCTGTGTACTCTATAATAGCTCCTATTTTGCAACTCCTAACTTCTTATTTGTTTTCCAGGATCGGATTGGGAAAGCTTCTTCCTTCCAATGCTCACATAACCACTCTTCAGCCTACAATTACTCTCCTTGTGGAGCACAAGAGCTCCTCCTAAACTCAGGTCATTCCTCAAGCTGCCACATACAGAGCTACTGGACTGCAGCCAGACTCTGTGGGGACGGGACAAAACAAAGGGATGCACGAGGGACACATTGACTGAGAGATGCGCTTCTGACCCTCAGGTCTCCTCTTTTGTAAAAGTTGAGCAAACATCCCAAATCACCACTTTCTCACATATGTTGACCACGGCTTACGGCGGCCACACATTTTTGTGTGCGTGTTTGCTTCACAGCGTCTTGGCAAGTACCTAACCACAAGAGGGAGCATCTGGTCTCGCCTCATTCGCAGAGGGGAGCTGTAGAGCGCGGCACTTCCGTTTCCGCATGCAGAACATCCTCGATCAAAACTTAGACATGGCCACAGCGCTGCTCGCGGGCGAGAAGCTGAAGGAGCTCATCCTGCCGGGCTCCTCTCAGGATGAGAAGGGTGGGGCACTGGCTGGCCTCATGGTGCAGCTCAAACTGGAGCTGCCCTTTGATCGGGTCGTCACTATAGGGACGGTCATCATCCCCATCCTGCTGGTCACCCTTGTCTTCACAAGAAACTTTGCAGGTGGGTGGCTCGGGCCACTACAGGGGCGCTTGGCGCTAACGCAGCAACAAAGATGTTTGATTAACGAACAAATGGTTTCAAGCAAACCTGTGTACCTTGCAAAGCATTCATAGGTGATTTTCAACAACAAACTTCAATACGTTTTGATCGGATTTTATGTGGCAGATCAAAACTAGTGCATAGAAGACGGAGAGAAACGTATATATTTTTCAAAATTAAAAAAAAAAGAAAATCTGAAAGTGTGGTCATTATATGTAATAGTCCCCTTTACAATGACACCCCACAATAAAATCCAGTGCAACCAAATGCCTTAAGAAACCAACTCTTCATAATCCATCTGTATGTAATTTAATCTTAGTATAAATATAGCAGTTCTGTGAGGGTCTCTGGGTTTTATGGGAGAACATATTGAACAAACATCGAACAAACATTATGATGATAAGGAAACTTTGCATCACAGATGTTTCTGGAATGTCACCACCAGCCTTTAACATTGCAACTAAATGTTTTGTCCATTCCTGTTTTGGGGAAAAGTTCAGGCTCAATAAATAGCATCTTAGCTCTGGACATATAGTGAAAGTTGTTGCTTTAGGCAAACATCTAGCACATTTGCAAGCTTTTTGAAGCCTGCAAATGTGTAGGAATTTACAAATGTGTCAGAAAGGAGGTTTCTTACAGTATTACCTTCTATTGATCTATTGATCTCTTTCTATCTTCCACATCTCTGAGTAGCTAATCTGGTTTCTGATTATACCCTCAGTGTTTAATCTCCTAATTTTTCATTGTTCATTTTTATCTCAGTTATTCTGCCGATTGGATGTTTTACCAACACTCAAACATGATACAGCATGATTCTTCCCACACCGTCTTCTACCAGAGGGATGTTGTTTTCAGGGCAACGTGCAATATTAAGTTTTCCACAACACGTGGCATTTTGGCTATAAAAAAAAGCTGTCTGCTTTCATCAGACCACCTTTACCCTCATGTTTTCTTTTCCTCCACATTGCTTTTAGCAAACTACAGATATGACTGCATGGCCTTCTTTCAACAGCTGGTTTCTTTTAGCAACTTGTTCAGCTCCCCCATAGTAACCAAAGGCCTCTTGGTTGCCTCGCTGATTAATGACCTTCCTTCCCAGCCTGTCATTTTAGATGGACTGTCATTTCTTGGTAGGTTTGCAGGTGTGCCATGTCGTTCCAATTTTTTTTTAACCTCGGATCGGAAAGTACGGCATCAAATGTTCAAACGTGATATTGTTTTTTTTAACCCATAACCCTGTTTTGAACTACTCTACAGCTTTTTGACTGACCTATCTACTGTGTTTATTGGATTTATGGATTCTGTTTGTTCTCTATGTTCCTTAAATTACATACAGAAATACTCTACTTACTAATAGAGTAAATATTATCAAATATTATTTACTAACAGTATTTAGTAAATAAGACCGCTGGAGATATGGACCAGATCCTTTCGCGACCACACTAGGGATAAGCGTGTAAGAAATTGGATGGATGGATTTAGTAAATAATTACCCTATGTATTAACTGGGTAATCATCTCTGGATTTAATATACAGATATCAAAGTAAGGGATCTGAATACATATTTTCTTACCAATTATGCACTATTTTGTGTTGATCTAAGACATAAGATCCTCCTTAAATACATTAAACATTAATGTAACATGAGAGGTCTGGAAAGATGTAAAAAAAAAGTTTCAGGGGATTGCCATTTTTGTTTCTGTGACAAAGGAAAAACAAACAATAAAAAAACAAAAACTATAGTTGCAGAATTGCAGAAATATGGGAAAGAGAGTGAGGAAGGAGTTTGGCTGAAATGCAGATTGAAACCTATGGCTGATGGAAATGCTGGCGTGTTGCTGAGTCAGACTTTCAGCTACAGCGTTTAACCAGCTGGGATTTTAACTGGAGCAGCAAAACAATGTTGGAGTTCAAACAGTAAAACATTTCTTAAACAATTCAGCACAAAGACCGGCGGCATGCCTGGTACAATTATACGTTACAATTATAACAATATAATAGAATAAACGACAGTGTATACAATTATTTTTTATTATCAATTTTTAGAAAATTATCATATTTTCCCTGTTAAAAAAAAGCTATTGACGTTTCGATAATGTTTAATGTCACTTCCGAGTTCCAAAGTCAAACAGAAACTGGGTGAAACTTTAAGTTGCACCATATGGTAAGTAGAGAGATAAAGTTTGACAGGAACCACACTTCTTAGTTCCTCTATTTGAAATTGACAGAATGTTCTTATGTCAGAAAGAAGAATGACTTTGGTGAAAGATACAATAAGATGCAAATGAATGTCACAAAAATGCTCAGAGTTTCAACAAGACGAAGGAACGATGAAATATTCAGTTTTTTAAATAAAAAAATGTAAGCATAGCTGAAAAGGAAATATATATGACATGTATTTTGGTATGACTCAAATTTTAATGCAGATTAATATTGAAGCTACTCTACTTCAGTTCATACATTTAAATAAAAATAATTTAGCAATACTAAAACAAATATTTGACCCACGGCTTTTTTTTTTTTTTTTTTTTTTTTTTTTTT